CAAGGTCATCGGGAGGACATCCCCCTGATACTGCTCCACAAGCTTGCGCAGCGGATGGAACCGAAGTACCGTCAGGGGTAGGAGGGCCAAATCTCCCACCTCCTTGACGATCCGTAGGACTACCACTACTACTCCTACTACCACCACTACCACGACTACTTCTTCTTCTACTACTACTACTACTACTGCTACTACTACTACCACCAATACTACTACTTACCAGTACTCTACTACGATGACGACTCTGACTGCTAAACACTGAAATCTGACTACTCACTACTGGCTACCGGCTGCTGGCTACTGTTTCCTGAATACTGGCTCCTGACTACTGACTCCGGGCTACTACTGATCACCGACTGCAGACTACGACTACAACTACCGTTACATCTACCACGACTACTAGCGCTATGACGACTACTACGATGACTACTACGACGACAACGACGGCGATGACGACTATCCAAAGTCCATCGGCATTGCCAGTGCTATTGCTACTCGCATGATGTTGACCTTGATGGCGATCATGTCCATGATGACGGTGCCGATGTTTGTCAAAACTGTTGAGGAGATCGGACTTTTTATCGGATGATGTGGTCTGGGATTTCGGGATTCGCTCCGAAGTTTAGGAGCTGAGCGAAGTTTTTTTTGGCCTGTGTCGTTGGTGAAATGGACCTTCTATGACAATACAGTTTGCGAAATGAACCGCAACACACCTGGAACGCCTGCCAAAATGTCCAACATCTTGCTCCCCCACAAGCCAGATCCCTACAACCCCTACCCGTAGGACCCACGCAAACCCGAGGCCCGAAAAGGCGTGCCGGGAGACTCCTCGATGTTGAATTCTTCGGAGGACAAGCCAGCCTCTCGCAGATGTGGTGGGATTGTGGTCTTTGGGGCTCTGGTGGGGATTGGTTCGTAACAGCACGCTCAGCTTTCATGTTGCTGGTTCATCGCTTCTCTGCTTTCATAACCAGCTAATTATAGACGATTGGGCCGTGATGTGGCTCAAGGTAGTAGTTACGGATCTACCTGCGGTAAAGACAGCACTCGAGAAGAAATACCAAATGATCCGAAAACCTGTGGCAGACGTCTGTGCGCTCGTTTCACTAGCAACGTGCAAGGCTGCAAGGCCCGGTCGGGCAAACAAAGTTCCGTGGATTTCGTCCTTCGTCAGGTTGTCTTCCTGAATTATTACTGCGCAAATCCATGATACCACAAAGGGTTCCGACGTTTGTACACGAGCTCGCCGCTCTTCAGTCTTCATACGGCCCCTGCATGGCCGCTGTAGCCTTTAAGATTCTGGCCGCTTGCTCAGCCCCCATGCCCCGTAGCAGGACCATATTGGCCATGATGTTTTTAACATCATTGCTCGGGGGCGAAGTAGGCACGGGAGCGGCCGCTGGCACGTTCATAAAACCAGGCCTGTCTGCCCATCCGAAAGCATCGTGCATCAGCACCAGCTCAGAGGTCGGCGTCGTCGTGCTCATCATGCCACATGTGACGTAGTTCATCCCTTCTTCCGTGGCCGACTGGCCGGGCACTGCGCGGTAGTACCAGTTCTCACCCACGCCTCGGTAACGGTCGTCGGCTCGGTTAATGTTCATGCCTGCCGCCGAAGTACTTGCCCAGTGTTCACTCCTGGCACCGCAGATTGGGATCACGCCCTGGGGCTTGACACTCAACAATTTACGGGTTCTGACTTTTGAAGGCCCCTTGAAGTGGGCCACAAAGCAGAGTAGCGTGATTGAAGAAAGAGGATTAACAACAACGGCTTTGAATGATCGTTGCGCAGACCTTTCAGCATCAGCATGCCTCCATTGCCAATGTCTGCTATGGTCCCACCGTCCATAGCCACCCTCACTGCGGCGGCGGCGGCGGCGGTCACCGTACTGCGAGTTGTAGTTAGCGGATGGACTCGGCATCGTGTCGATGCACTATGTTTCAGCTACTCCTGAAAGGCAGGGACGACCACCCAGCCTTGAGCAATAGAGCAGCACACAGGAATGCAACACAGGTCTTCACAGTGCAGACAGCGCTTGACTGAAGGAGCCCTCATGAGAAGTCTTCCAGCAACGGTCAAGGCCCGGAGCCCTGACGGGTCGAGCATTCGCCAAGAACGGGGCCTCGTGCGCGATGGCTAGGATGTGAAGGACTGCGTTCGTGCTGCCGCCCAATGCCTCGCAAGAGGGAAGACTTTCAAAGAGGGCATGCTGTGAGTTACAGCCGCGACAATCGACAAGGCCCGGGCATAAACAATCGCCACGGCATTCTCCAGCGCCTGCGAGCGTTAAGAAGGTCATGCGGCAACGAAGATTCCATGTCGGCTTCCGGAACTGAGAGTTTAGGTTCCATTTCTTCACAGAGCCTTCGGATCAGCCCTTCCCATTCCCAGGCCTCTTTGCAAATGATCTTTCTGGCAGACCTTGGTGAGGTCGACGCATTTTTCGTGCAGAGAAAGAGAGACTCAAAAAGCTTCGACCTTCCCACATGCAAATCTAAACCATACCCGAAACCCTCAAACCCGAAACCTATAATAATAAGAAGAAGAAGAATAGCAATAATAATACTACTAATTATAATAATAATAGTACAAAAGCCGAAACCGTAAACCCGCAACACCGAGAATAGATGCAGAATCTTTTTCTTCGCACACGGCCACAGCAGTGTTTGAGCATCTCAGAAGCGCAGCTTCTTGCGCAGGTAGAGGACGTCCTACAAAGCAAAGTTGCACCCGTCTGTTGGTCTTCCACCCGAGGTGTTTAGGGTTTGGCGGTTAAGGCTAAATGCCGAGGGCGATAGAACGCGCGTGGTCCCTATATATAAGTATCTAAAAGGACCGAAAAGGCTCTATTCCAACTGTCAAGGTGCACAACCCTAAACCCTAAACCCTAAACCCCGTTAGGGCATGTTGGACTCGAGCCTTGGAGGGGCGTCCCGACTTGTCTTGCGGTGGTGCCTGGAACTTCTCCTGGAATAGGCCTCATCCACGTGGCACGCAAACCCCCGAACATCAACTCTTGACTTTCTGGCGGAATTGCGCATGTGATGATGCCTTTTCTACCAGTGCTGCTTGGCGTCTCTTTGCGAACTTCCTGGCTTCCTTGCGGCCATCGGGAGTGTCCATCTGCGCGTCCGTGCAGATGGTGGACGGGGAAATCTCGGCAGGCACCTGCGTGCCAAGTGAGACTCCGACACAGGTGCACCCTTAATTATGGAATATACCTTAAATTATAGTAGGATCCCTAATATGATTTAAGGTATATTCCTTAATTGAGGGGTATTGGAGTCTCTAGGCAGCATGGACAGCATGGACCAGCAGGGTAAGGCGCGGGCGTTGTATCGCGTCGGCATGATGTGGTTGTAGTTCACATACTTGGTGAAAGGCCTCATGCGTCCCGAATCAACAGCTGGGAACGGGTGGGTGGTAGCTCCAAGAAGAGGAAAATGAAGTAGAAGAAAAAGATATAGATATGGGAGTTTCCGAAGATTAGGGGTACCTTATTTTTGAGGTCCTTATAATAAGGATCCTACTATTTGGGGTCCTATATTAGGGTCCCCTATTTTCGGAAGCCCGCATATGTAAACTCGCATCATGACCCTAAACCCGAAACCCTAAACCCTAAACCCTAAACCCTAAACCCTAAACGACTTGTACTCGGCAGGTCCTCTGACGATGATATGGCGCCTTCGGCTTAAACGCCCTAGCCGAAAGCCAGAGCTCCCAGCTCGGATTAGGGTTTAGGGTTTAGGGTTTAGGGTTTAGGGTTTAGGGATTTTTTTTTGAACTCCTTTTTCCGAAGCCCGTAGGTCCCGAAAGGCTTGTAGGGTTTAGGGTTTAGGGTTTAGGGTTTAGGGCTTAGGGTTTAGGGCTTAGGGTACTCAAAACCTCAGACCAAAACTCTCAAACCCTAGAATCCCTAGAACCCAAACCCTAAGCCCTAAACCTAGCCCAAAGCCCTAAACCCAAACCCCCCGACAGCTGAGGCCATGTCTTCACCTTGGTGCGCTTGGTAATCTTCTTCTTGGACATTTTCCTGCCGGTTGAGGGTTTAGGGTGAAGTCCTTTTAGGGTTTAGTCGTTTTAGGGTTTAGTCGTTTTAGGGTTTAGGATGTACAGTAGGGTTCAGGATCTTGGGTACTCCCCGGCTTTGGGGTTGTTTGGCTCTTTTTCGTTGCAAGGGTGTCGCGTTTAGGGTTTGGGGTTTAGTTTCAGGGGTCCGGATCTACGGGCTTCGGTTCTAAGAATGGGACGTTGCTGAGGGTGCTTGACAGTTCACGGATAGCCGGTCATAAGTACGCTGGCTAAGGCAGTAATTAACTGACTATAACCACAGTTCACCCAGTTAGTTCACCCGGTTGCGCATCGGATTACGCCGTGCTGCCACCGCGGGAAAGCTTGGAGTTCAGGTTGTGGGGCATGGGCTTTGGATGCAGCCTTTGACGCCTGAAGCTGTCCAAGGGCAGCAGTAACGACAACAAGGGCCCTTAAGGGCAATCAACAACGGCGGAGGGGAAGCAACTACATCATTGTTGATGGGCAATAAAACGCATAGAAATTCAGCTGTCAAAGGGTACAGAAATCAGGGACATGCAGGAAGAACACGTAGGCACATAATGGTACATGCAGAGTACATCTAAACCGAGGACAGCAACTATGGCAACAATGGAAGTTAGTCACGCCCTTACTGGAATGATGCCGACCTATGAAGACAAATGTGATGATATACACATGTACATATATATATATATATATGCATGTACATATCTATATAAGTACATATAATCACATATGTGTAGGTGGTAAGAATGCACACACCGCCTAACTACCTGTCTACCTACCTACCTATCTATCTGTCGATCTATCTATCTATTTATCTATCTATCTATCTATCTACCTATCGATCTATCTAGCGCCTATCTATCTATCTATCTATCTATCTACCTACCTACCGATCTATCTACCGCCTATCTATCTAGCTGTCTACCTATCGATCTACCTATAAACCTAACTACCTGCCTGTCTATCCGTCAGTTAGACAAACACGTATGCATACATACATATGTATATAGACTACATTGTGCCTGCACGCGAGTGTGTCTGTGTGTACACATGTGCCAGTACAAGTATTTACATCTACACGACTATACATACGCGCATTCCACCTCCATCTGCGTAAACAAATGCGCAAGCAAGCAACCGAACGAATACATAACCGATACAAGAAAGCAAATAACAATAAGTTAATAAATTCATGCAACATAAACAGACAAGAAACTAATGAATCAGAAACCACACATACACATGAGAATGTGCGTATATACGTTGTGCAAACACACGCAATGCATCACTCTTAAGCATAAATGCAACAGCATTTGCGCACTTAACGTTGTGTACATATCTGTACAGGCACACACCCACACATATACATAAACGCATAGATGCAGACATGTGCCTATGTGTGTGTGTGTGCTATACCACACATGGATACAACACAACGCAAAACAACGAAGCACTGTAAAATATAAAAACAGTACAGAAGATAATATAACATAAGATCTTAGAACACAACATAATCGAATACCAAATCAGACCAAATCAGATCAGATCAGACCATATCAAGTCAGGTCATGTCAGATCATGCCGTATCGCATCAGATCATATCATTTGTAGCTGTACGTAAACATACTTATATTCATAGACATCTACGCCCGGCCTGGTAACCTTCAGTGGCGCCCGGTCGATGCCTGCCACCAGGCAGTGCCCGAAGGGCCGAGACTTCGAGCCGTCGTCGCAGGTCTTGACGACGATGGCCTCCGTCTTAAGGATGGGGTTTAGGGTTTAGGGTTTAGGGTTTATGGTTTAGGGTTTAGGGTTTAAGGCTTAGGGATTCAGGTTACGCAACAGCCTGTTTTTGGAGCGGAGCTGACGGTCCGACTCGCAAGGCTTTCGACAAGAAAAAGAGTCTAAGTTCTTCATCTCAAGCCGGAGCCGCAAGCAACAAAAAGGTGCCAAGACGCACAGTGGTGGAACTGTGATCTTTGGTGGCGCATGGAAGAGCTGCCGCTAAATGTCGGTGGTGTATCTATTTTTGGATTTTATGTTCTCTAATGTAACTAC